CCCAACTCACCGCTCTGCACCCCCCCCCACCCCCAACAGTAGCCTGGGCTTCTGAGAGTCTTTTTTATTTTTAATGTTTATTTATTTTTAAAGAGAGAGACAGAGGATGAGTGGGGGAGGGGCAGAGAGAGAGAGAGGGAGACAGAATCTGAAGCAGGTTCTGGGCTCCGAGCTGGCAGTGCAGAGCCCGGTGCGGGACTCGAACTCATGGACGGACGGAGCTTCACTGACTGAGCCACCCAGGCGCCCCTGGGCCTCTGAGATTCTTAACCCCTTCCTTCCTCCCGGCCGCTAGCCCCTGAGGCGGTGGGAGCGTCCAGTGTGAGGGAGGCTTAGGTCAGCCTTGTGGGCACCCTCTCTGCTCCGGGGTGGCCAGAAGGTGCCACGGAGTCATGATCAAAGAGCAGGTGCCTGGGCCGAGACTCAGCTCCTTCCGCTTTCTGGCTGGACGGCTGTAGGCCATTTACACTCTCTGACCCTCAGTTTCGTCCCTTGTAAAATGGGCCCGATAATAGCAAGGAGTCTGAGAGAATGTGTGAGAAGCATCCTGGTGCACGGGGAGGTCTGGTCTGGATCAGTGGTGCCGCATTTTTCACTATTACGAACGAGAGACAAACCCGGAAAGCCGCTGCTGGAGGGGAGCGCGGGGCAGGACCCTGCCAAGCTTCACCTCCCAAGCCCGTGGGGTCGCTCGTGGCCCTGGCGGCCTCTCTGCGGGCCAGCCTGTGGGAGGTGGGGCTCGTGCCTGGCCGGGTTCTGGATGGGACACCCTCTCCACCGGCCTGGGTGTAAGTGCGGCCACACTGCCTCTCCCCAGAGCCGCCATACTGGGAGGCCGATGAGACCAGCGGCCTGCTAGAGAGAGTGGCGGGAGAGAACGCCAGCCTGCCGTGCCCTGCCAGAGGTGAGGCCGGGCCCCGGGGTGGGTTGGACTGGGAAACGCTGTGGGCAATGCCCATGGGTTCGGGAGCGTGAGGGGGGGTCCTCACTCCCAGCCGGGCCACGCCAGACATTTCATCCTGTCGACGACCCTGTAGGACGGGTATTAGCTTTAGCTCTCTTCTGTTAGGGGCAATCTAGGCCCAGAGGGACTAAGCAACTTGTTAGAGGTCACGCAGCCGGGAGGTGACCCACAAAGCGTGGTGTGGGTCGACCCCAGCCCCCTCTGCCTGGGAAATGCGGCAGCTGGGCTGAGGACGGCCCGAGGGTCCAAGGATTGGGGCTCAGTGCCCCGCCCCCACTCTTCAAGCCCGCCCCAGACTTTCTAGCAGAGATAGATTCACGTGGCCCTAGGCAGACCACCCCTTGGGGTCAGCAGCATCCCGTGGGGCCAAGATAGATCCGTCTGTGGTCAGTTGCCCCACGCTGACCCCTGCTTTGGCCCTTCCAGGCCAGGTACCTTCTTGGGGCCATTTATACTTTTTTTCGGAGCCTCTGTTTCCTCATCTGTACAGTGGGGTCATTCCAGGCCCTCCACGCGGGGCTGCTGTGAGGGCTCCGGGGGACAGCAGGAGTGTTAGGTCCCAGCACCGTGCCCGGCACATACAGGGGCTCGGGGCGATGTGTCGAACGAAGAGCCTCCCTTTCTGTCGGACCCGGTGGACCTCACTGCCTGCCCCAGCTGCTGCTTTTGGCTTCGGGCTCTTCTGTGGCGAGAGGGCCTGCCGTGTCCCCTGTGCGTAGGCGCTCTCCAGAAGGGTGGGTGTCTGGGTCTCAGGAGCAGGTGGCAGCTTACAGGAAGCCTGGCAGGAGACTGGAACCAGGGAGTTTGCTGGAACAGGCCTGGCGGAGGGCCAGGTGGGAGGCAGGTGCTGGGTGGGAGCCCTGGGCACCTCAGGGGCTCCTTTCTGAGAACTGCCCGTCTGGAGGGGCTGACGCGTCGCCCTCAGCCAGAGCGCCACCTTGTGCCTGTCGCTGGTAACAGCAAGCAGCCGTCTGGCGGTCTGGGAGCGGGGAGGGGGATCCCTGGCCAGTCAGGGGCTTGTCCTCTGCACCAGACTTCAGCGGAATCAGCATAACCCAAGCCCCCGCTGATAACCATGCCTCAGCCTGGCCCTCGCCTGCCCGCAGGCTGCCCTTGGCCTTCTCCCTTTCAAGCAGGTGTTTGCTGCTGGGCAGTGCTGGGCGCTGGCATTCACCAGCCACGTGGCCTTGGGGTCGGAGGGCTAAAGGAGAAAGTGCCCAGCCCGGCACCTGGAATGTGGGAGCCCTGGTGCCTGCGGAGGGTGGCCCCGCCCGCCGCCTCCTTGTGGGTGGGACAGAAAGGCCAGGAGCCTGGCCATTGACTCGCTGTCTTGGCCCCGGTGAAGTAGGTGTGGGGAGGGGAGGGGAGTGGTTTTCAGCAACGGCCCCCGAGTCCCCTGGAATCTTCTGGGGCTGAGCTACAGGGCAGTTCTGTGGCTAGAGCTCATCCAGGGGAGAGACGTTTTGCCTGAAGAAAAAAAAAGATCCAGGGTTCAAGCCTCAGGCACAGAGGACGCGACGTGACACAGGAGCACAGAGCAGGGTGGCAGGCGGAGGCCCAGCACGTGGGGCAGAGGGGCCAGGGCAGGCAGAGCGGGCCCGGGTCCCCCACCTGGGATGCCCTGAGTGTGCCACGTCCTGACTGCCACCCACGTGTCCATCCAAATAGGGTGGCCCCCCCCATGGCTGTGGGTAAAGGAGTGGGTGAGACGGGAGAGTTCACGTCCACCCGGGGCCCCGCGCTGCCCGGGAGGTGGCAGAGAGCACGTGGGGTGTTGCGTTTGCCCACGCGTGTTAGCCCACGTTGCGGTCCCGATGGCTGACGTTGGCAGAGCGCGATGGGGGAGACAGAGGTGCCAGGTGCCGTCCTGTGAGTTTGGGGAGTGCCCCCCCCAGGGAGGCCCCCCATCTGCATGTGGCTGGAGAAGGACGGAAGGTGGCCGAGGCCCCAGCGAACAGAGGGCTGCTCTTATCCCAAGGTCGTAGAGCAGGTCAGCAGGGCTGGGGCTCGGGTGACCCCACGACCACTGGGTGCCGCCGCCTCACGGGCCTGGGTGGTGCTCAGAAGCCCGGGTCAGCCCCACAACGCCCATCTGAGGACCTCGGTATGGCCAGTGGCCCCAGATGGGTGCCGAGCACAGCAGGCTCGGTCATTCACTTAGCGCCTCCTATGGGCCGGCGCTGGGCTTGCAGCTGGGGGCACAGCGGGGAGTTAAAGCAAAGACCTTGGCCCGAAGGTAGACAAAAGAAACCTGAGTGAGTGCGTCCTGTGCACGTTAGGAAGTTGGGGGTGACGGGCAAAGAGGAACGCGGGGTGGGTAACAGGGGCAGGAGTGCCATCCCACACGAGGCGGCCCTTCTTTGAGGAGGGAACCAGAAAGAGGGTTCTGGCCCCTCTCCTGTGGCCTTCAGGGCACTGGGAGACCAGAGGACCCCCAGCACGGGTGGGAGGCAGAGGGTGTGTGGACCCCGAGGGAGCTGCTCCTGTCAGCCTAGGGGGCGAGGAGGTGCCGGGAGCCCCCCACGGGAGGGCCAGCGACATTTGCCCAAGGGGGGGCAGCGTGGGTGCCCCAAGGGGGGGGCAGATTTCACAGCGTTCATGCTGATGACTCCGTGCGCCCCGCCAGGGGTGCCCAAGCCGCAGGTCACGTGGCGGAAGGGCCCAACCTCGGAGCCCCTGCGTGGCCGGCCGGGCCTGGAGGTGCTGGATGAAGGCTCCCTGTTTCTGGCCTCAGTCTCGCCCACCGACAGCGGAGACTACGCGTGCCAGGCCACCAATGAGGCAGGCTCCACGTCCAGGAGAGCCAAGCTGGTGGTCTATGGTAAGCAGGGCCCCCAGGGTGGGGGCTGGCTTGTGCTCACTTACCCCAATGGCACCCCTTCCCCAGAGAGACCGCCATGGGGACAGTGTAAGGGGAAGGACCTAGAACTCCCTAAATGGCTTTTAAGGTGGTCTCGTAGGTGAATTCATTTTCCGTTTATTTATTTTTGAGAGAGTGAGACAAAGTGAGAGTGGGGGAGAGGCAGAGAGAGAGGGAGACACAGGATCGGAAGCAGGCTCCAGGCTCTGAGCCGTCAGCACAGAGCCCGACGCGGGGCTCGAACCCACGGACCGTGAGATCGTGACCTGAGCCGAAGTCGGACGCTCAACCGATTGACCCACCCAGGCGCCCCGGTGAATTCATTTTATAACAAGC